CATAAGTTGCTGCAACAGCACACAAAGTGCGGCTACACGAATTTTATACAAGATTAATTAACTCCAGCCTCCTGCCGCCAATCACCGGAAACGACGGACTTTATGTTTCCCAAAACTGCTGAACAAATGCAATCGGCCAGGCAGATGATTATCCAATAGATATGAAATCAATCCTAAACCAGTTAACAGGACATTTCCTACATTGATCATAAGCCGTTTTATATAAGATCAACATAAAAAGCAATAAAGGATACACACTGTGCTGATTATCAAAATATAGTCAGCTGTCAGGTGGGTCCAAGCGAACTGACTGAGGTCATAAATGAGTCCTCGTTTATTTTTTTACGCACACACCACATGATTATTTGCATCCCGGGGATCTGGCATGACTGTCGCGTCTGAATTTCGAAACCTTCGTCCTTACCATTGTGTCGCCGTACCTCGTATGAGCTGGAACGAGTCGCGTGCGTCTGAAATATACTATTTCAAGTATCCAGCTTAGTCGCCGCTAATAACGATGACAAAAACTGTAACAAACTACAAAAGCAACGTTCAATTATTATAATAACCCAATTAGCATAATTTTGAGGACAGCAACGCGGAGGTGACCACGACGCGAATTGTTGTATATTGGACAAGGTGCACCGCAACATCTACACATCATTACAGTTAGCTAAAACTACTCCATTCTGCACAAGGACATAAATCCAGCCAATGCGGTTACAGAATAAAAATAACATCCATGTTGAGAATGGCCAGCCAATCGAACAAATTCGCACAGCTTTCACATAGTGCGATGCGAACTTGTAAAACTAATGTAATCAACTCCATCCAGAAACGAAAGAGTTTTCATCGATCTATTCTATTCAAGAAGTCTTCCCCAGACCATCAGGCAAACTTCGCTAACGGGCACCGCTGTGACGCAGTGCCACCGCTCAGCCGCATCGAATAGGCGGAGTATTCTAAAATTTGATTGGCTGAATTTTTAACAGTGCAAGGATGGATAAACTGTTCAGATCTACATGATGGTCAAGATTAAGTACGTGTACTGTATTTATATGATTTGCTTTAAGTAGCCTGATTTCGAATGCAGTGCTTTTTAAGACCATTTATTTAGGCTGTGCAGTTTCAGGAAGACGGCGTTTTGAAGCATTTCTAACAGTAGTGTATGATTCATGACTATGAGCACCGCAAGTATTTACACTAGATATTACCGACGATGATTGACAGATGTGATTAATAATCTTTGAAAGACCCTAGGTTTAATTATCAGTGTCAGATTTGCCAACCGACCCGTTGCTTTCAAAGTGACGTTAAATGTAGTGGGATAGTTTTTCTTCGAGTGTCATTGTGATTAGCGGAAAATTTTGTACAGCGTTGTCGGAAATGTCATGGAAGTGACAGATTATATCGGCGTTACGTGGAAAAGTAGAAATGCCCTTGCCATAGTTCGTCTGCTCTGTTTGTACCCTTCGTTCTCTTCTGCCATAGTGGGGTCCATATTGTTGCTGACTGCCCATTACTAATATAAGGGGCATTATTGTAACGATATTACTTTGACTGATTATAATCGAACTGACTTGAAGTTAACCCGGCAAAAATGCTTGTGGCTCCGTGTTCTCTGTGACCGTGCGATTACACCGTTAGAATATGCGTAAGTTACTCGTATTTGTTAGGCTGACATACTGACTTAACTTTTTCTAGTAAACCTAAAATATCATTCATATTTCTATTTGCGTATTAAGCTACGCATCGATGTGTATTTGCTGAAGTCACGCCTTTGCTATAATACTATAAAGTCGTTGTCTGCCTAAAATATCCTATAGTCCGCTAAAAGTGAAGTATGTACAATATGTAGAATTTTGTTGCTCTGTAGGACTGCTGCTCTGCAAATGTTGTACGAAGTCCATCATGTTCGTTTCGCCAGGGCCTCACATTTTAATTATAATTTAACCGAAGACACCGATTGATATGATTATACTGAGCTGATATTAATGCCAGCCATTGCTTAAGCACACACTTACTAACGTTTATCAATTTCCATGTTCCTTGCTCTTAAACAGCGCAAAGATAACGTTTGTCAAGCACCCTCGGCATATTTGCTTACATAGCTGCTTAGCTTACTGTTCGTTAATCCCCACTTCATTTCTCACGACGCTTTCCTACAGAAGTCATTCGCTGGCAGATCAGTTCTTCTGTTTGCTCTCCTGCCTGCATTGTCTGCAAACCCATAATCGCTCTATGTCAGCATCGCATAGCTGACAACTGCAGAAGTAAGTTATCCTATATCAGGGCAAAGTACGGAGGATTTTTCCTTATCCGCGAAATCCCTCATCAACCTTGCTATTATTTCTAACGAAGAGACAAGGGTACGGGAGTTTTCAGATTCCTTTAGCCATTTTGGACGTTCCGACTAAAAACGTGAATAAAAAGAATTTAGCCATCGTCCTTATAATTAATCGTCGTCCAGTAAACTACGACAGAATCTTTTGATTACGTCATTTACCTTTGAATGAAGGATAATGATGTTGGAGAAAGAGAGCCGGAGCTACAACGGATATCATTCGACGGTTTATGTTAGGAAATAAGGAGGAAATTTCATCATTCACGAGAAGACTTAAATAGTGATGGATAACCTTGTCGAAGCTTGTAAGTTCGTATAGTCGTTCTTCGAAACAAAATCTGACGCCTGTCACTGTCGTTTGTCCTCACTATTTTTGAATCATTTCGAAGTTTAAATAAATTGTTGAACAAGCACGAAGGCAAGTTTTCTTCTAGCCAAATAGTATGATCGTAAAACATTTTGGCTTTTTTACTTTCATT